ATATTGAAAAAAATGATATTTATTTGATATGTGCCCCTGTCGCTGTGAGTATGGCTCTCAGCTGCTTTGAAAGCAACTCCACTGTGGCTCGCATGGCATACTGGTGTGTTTTCTTTTCAGTTAGCAGAAAAAAGCCTTTTGCTCATCCATGCGGATGTGGTAATTAGTGCAGCTTCTATCCTTCACAACAGCCCTCAAAGGATGGTCCAGCACGTTGGGATCAAGGGATAGGAGGATTATTTTTTGAGGATGTGAAAGCGCGAAGAGTGGCATAACGCCGCGCTTGAGCAGTTTTCGTCTCTCATGCAGAAGCTGCGCATTTTTGAGAAGAACATCATCCCTTGTCAAAGGGGCCTAAGATACCTCTGTAACACTTCCGTTAGCCAGGTCTCAGTATCGAGTTATATTCCTTTTTGACCAAACAGTGGTGGAGAGCGACCGTTAGTTGACACCTGGGTCCAAACCAAAATAAGCATTGGCCGCTGCTTGAAGTAAATTTTCCTTCGCCTTTCCTTAGCTTCTTCAAGGTCTCGTTTGTTCATCCTCAAAGTTTGAAGATTGTAGCTTCGCTAGATGGGAGGCATTTTTGGCGACGAAAACGGTGCCCACATAATCGCCTTTTTCAGCCTTGGCACCAGCTCTTCTAACTTTTTGTCTCTGCTGTGCTCCTTTGGTTCGATCGTGCAGTGGTGCCTGTGTCGTGAGCAGCGCCACGACCTCGAGTGAAGACGCTCTAAAGGCAAGCTGGTAAGAGGCAGGGCAAAATAGCGGTTCAAACTCGCGCCATCGGCACAGGACCTTGGTTGCCTGCGCCTTCAAATCTGCGCGCCAACCGTAGCCACGTCATTACGCCATTGCATCATCGTCGTGGACGGTCGCCCCTTATTCGCCTCTCCAGTTATCTGTCTATCCATTATTTCTGTCATCTCCATTACGCGATGAATCCAGTATCACGAATCACGCCTCAAGTAGTTAGTTTCTTTTAGCTTATATATTCTGTTTAAGTATATATTTCAGTCGCCTCGTGATCCTGACTGTAGTTACCACCTTCTTCCCCTACTTAGTCTTTAAGTTAGAATTCCTTGGGAGCTCGCACCTTAGTCTTCCCTAAGTGTAATATGTTAGCATTCTCCTAACTTAGTTCTTAGTTTATCGTAGTTATTCATTATGGTAATATTCACCTTTCTGCAAATCGTATTCATCTATAACAGTGGTTTCTCTATTCTACCCGCCTAATAGTAACTACATCATACTGATATCCTTCGTGTGTATTTTCTAATATGTGTTTCGATAGTAGTTATTCAGTGTAGTATTTCAATGTTTATTTAAGGGGACATGAAGAAGCATAATATGTAAGTTTCTAACAGTTAATCTCAACACAACGCGCCGCGCACACGCCGCTTATAATATTCGCCTAGTAGCCTATCCATCGTATCATCTCGGATAGACTTCTTCTTCTCTTGGCTGATCGAGATCCATCGCATCTACAGAGCTGTCAGCACGCTAGTTCCTTCAAGAGTCAGGGAAGCAGGCCCAGTTCAAGGCTCGCAGGCATGCACATGGACAGTGAAGTCAAGAGCATTCTACGGCGCACGCATTTTCCCCTTTTCAGAGGTGTTGTAGGCACCCGCTGGATTCCCACGTTTTGCCGTGACTTGCTGATTTCGCCGATGCATCCTTCTCCACTGGTCCGCCTGGCATGGCAGCTTGTCCAGCTGATAACGGTTTGTGAGCAGCTGCTGTATGACCACTCACCACACGATTTTGTTTGGAAAGTTCAGTGTTCTGGTTACCTTTCTCTAGCCACGTCGGGTATTGAGATTGTTCCGCAACCTCTCGCTTCTCCTGGGATCCATGATGGCAGGACTTACAGGGCGGCCGCAACAGACTACATTTATCATTTCTCTCCACTGCGTAAGGTCGCCGAGCGGTCCAACATTCCAAAGAAATGTGTTGTTTTTTACCGGATGCCCGATCTAGCTGTGTAAAGATAAGGCACTCTATTGAAGTTTAGGCGCATACGAGATGTAGACCGAACGGCAAGGCATGGAATTTGGTAAGGTTAGTCATAAGGGGCTATACTAGGATGTAGAGCTCTGCCAACCTCAGAAGGACACCAAGACCTCTAAAGGATTCGAGCTCAAAATGTGTGCAATATTTATGGAACATCCTACACGTATGCCATGCTTATCTCATTCATTTTTTTCGCGCATGCCAGATTTCTTCACAAGTTTTTTATGTTCATGCCGTAGACCATAACAACATTAACATAATAATAAACTATGTGGCTCATATAATGGCCAAATGATCCTGAGTCTCTCAGAGGTTTCCCGGTCTTTAAGGAAATGTCTGTTCAGTTCATCCCTCGTTTTCGTTTTCTAACATAAACACATGTAGATAAAAAAGGAGTAAAAAAGAATTTAGAAGTAAATACGAAATTTACTCATACGGAAAAACACATACACATGTTCTCACTGAAAACGACGTCCAGAATAATTTTGAAACCACTACAGTGAAAGTAAGTAAAAGTAGCTTTTTCATTACCATGACAGGTAATTTTCGTGAAGCTTCTACTAACTCACCTTGCGATTAGTTGAGTGAATTGAACATTATTGAAAATACTTTGTAGCATCCGAGTTTTCTATAGTTAGAGCCCAAAATCGCGGATGTGAGGTTAAGTGAACGCGCTCGCAGGTCCCACGCGGTCAAAAAAGCCAAAACGCGCGATGTAGTCAACCTGTTGAGAGATCAAGGATAAAGCATTTGCCGTTGATCAATCCCTTTTTGGGATGCGGCACGCATTCTACTTCCATTTGTACATTCGCAGTGGCGTTTGAATGCGATGTGGCCTATACAATGACTTGCGGGGGCCAGCCGATGTACAAGTCAGTGTTTTTATCCTCCCAGACAAGTCTGGTACCAATTAACCGACCCCGGAGGGATGGAAGGCTTGGTTGGCCCGGGCGACTCACGACCCAGGTTCAATCCCCGTAATGTACGCATTGTAAGCAGTGCCACTTGCCACTACGGAAATTCCGCCCTTTGATGGCCTTTCTTCTATCCCCATAGAAAAAGCCTTTCATGTTAGAAAATCTCTGGCTTCAACCCAGATTGAAGATCTTGCACCATCTCCATTGAGCCGAGACCTAACTCAGCTCCATTTCGTAGAAGAGCCTATAGCAGCTGCAAGTTGCCACAGTATATGTAAGACGAAGCGCTTTATAGTAAGTAGGATGTGCAGGAGAGCAGTCCGAAGCAGAAAGCTAGCCCATAGTTGTGATCATTCTTTACTTAAAAAAAACGTTGCTCCAGAGCTCCAGATCTTTCTAAAGCACGGAAAACAACATATTCACTCACCTAAACCTTCAGTGCTTTTGACAACAAGATACGCTGTGTAGAGGCATAGTAAACACATCAGTAGTTGTATCAACAATCCTAGAGCAAATCCAGCCTGTAATGTAAGAAAAAATTTACTATTTGACCTCCATACGATACTACCGTTCCAGAGTAATTGAAGAAAGCTCAATTCGCAAATCTTCAACGAATTTCTTTGATTTTTTCACCACTAGCCTCCATTTATTAGCCTTTTGCACTCTAAACCCATTCAGTATCTATCGTAATCACTGCAATTGAAGGTGGACTTAATCGAAAGCTACAGAAAGTGCAAAAATTGCCGTATGGTCCTCTGTTGAGATCTCGGCATCTGTACCCCACTGTTTTGCGCGAGCTTAAGCAAGATCTTGAAATAGAACTTTCATTAGACCCGATCTCCTCGTCTAAGAAAGAGGCCCTGGCTTGCAGTTTTGTTTTGTGAACGTTCGAGTGTTACTGATAGACCTGTTTCAACTGCAAAAAAATTGGAGTGGAAATGAAGCTGCCAGCAGTTTGTTCTTTCAAAGGGCTAGCTCATTTGAAACGGATCGGAACATTATATACTTGAATTATTGATTGAATTAATTCAGCACTTCATATGAATCGCAAGCCATAATGCCCCTCTCGCGCCACAGTGAGGGTCGAATGTTTGTCGTGGAAGTGAAGATTCTTCTCTTGAGTGCATGTTATAAAATGAAATGCTTGTCGCAATTGTTAATACCGTGTCTAAAATGCTCCTCTCCCCCACCAAGGACAGATATTACACAGGACAGACTGCGATGTATTTTCCATGGCGCCATGCTCGATTCCTGGTCAAATGCCTTCATAACTGAGCATGAGTGCGTGGTATGTCCTCAATGCATCGATCACAACGTTATCGCTGCTTCTTGACCCTTCATTTACTTCCGAAGAACCAGCAAATAATAATCACTGATAAAAGGCCAAGAGTCTTCATTTTACACCCAAGAAGAACTCTCATAGCCTTGTCGCTTACAATTAGACGTTCCTTTGGTGGAGCCCTCTGAGCACTCGAGAGTTTGTTACTGCAGATTAGGATAATCGACAGTTGGTTGATACCTACCCTGTATAGCGAGACTAGGGTATTGCGCTGATAGACGAAATTAGAAGCAGCCGCGCACATTACTTTCATTTTAAATCGTAGGCACATTTGCTGGAGCAGTAAGCTAAGCGTTCCAGTCTTTTAAAAATTCGATAGAATAGTCGCCACCCTCAGCGGCTGCACAGCCTCCGTGCCCGAGTACTGCAGGGAAGCAGAGCAGAATTTGTCACAGAAGGGGTACTGCAAGGTATTTTACAACAGGAGCGTACTACCGTACTACTGATAGGAATGATGTTAGAATTTTAAAACCGGGTCGATCTTTTTGTAAGCCCCATCCATCCTGAATCCGGATGCAATCCTTCCGCAGCCCTACGTACTGTATAGTTCAATGCCCTTACAACGACCTTTCTCGATTCAGACATAAACTGCCTTGACATCACAATACGAGAATTGCTGTTTAATGGCGCCGATGCTGCTGAAAACCAGTTCCCAGTTCAGAAGTAATTCAATTAAAACGAATATCCCTTCAAACGACGAAATGAATTTCCGTACCTGATACAGAGCCCATGGCATGCTCAGTAGCGACACACCCATCATCGTGTTCCATAGAGAGAAACTGAAATTTGAAGGAGTGGCTACTTGTTTCTCAAGTATCCTGCAGAGCGATAAAGGTAATAAAATGGCGTCTGAGAGGTCTTCTCTGGAGAAATTAGGTGAGTGAATCGGTCCAGCATCAGACGCAAATAGAATAAATATTATGTAATTAGATAAGTACTTGCTCATTCCACCTATCGGTTCCAGCTCGATGTGGGCAGGTAGACTACACTATTATGCTCCACTTGTGAATAGTACCTAATTTAGCACCACATTCATGTATTACAGAAATGGGCGCTATCGCAAGATACGGAGGCATGTGATGGCAGTGCATCGAAAACCGCGCGTAGAATATCTCCTTTTTGTTGACATCAGGATAAGCCTTAAGCGAGGGATGAGCGGCCTAATGGTGAGCAATTTGCAATTTCCCCAAAAGTGCTGCTTTCTCCTAGGTTGTCTTTGCGACCACCCAGAATTCATTTATTAGGTCATCTCACTTCAAACATGACCACGGTTTTATTCGAATAAAATGAACAGCAGAAGCGACTAGAAGACACTGTTGGACACCGCGCAGCTTCTTTATTTCAACATGTATAGACAAGATGCTTTTGATGTCAGTATAGATGATCAACGAATTGTCGTAGCGCTTCCGAACGAGTAGGGCGTTCAGTTCGCTAAAACAGCTGAGGTCGCACGGCTGCAGTTGGGAAAATACGGCTGATAAGAAGAGGTCACAATATCCGTTTGGTCGAAATACCCGTGAGCAATATGAGCTATGTGGGGTCTGGCGTCGACATAGGTGATGATATGATTATTGTAGTTTTTGTACTGCTATTCCTTTGTCAATTTATTCGCTAAGAAACAAGCCATACACTTGAGAAACGCCGGAGGTTTTTTCCCGATAGAGCCGTTTAAGGGGCACATCTCAGAAATCCATCGCCATAAATGGTCATCTTACGCGAATCCCACGTGACTTCTCATGATCCGATTAGGGTAGTTCCTCATTAGCGTTCATCCAAAGTTGACGCTTCTGACTTAGGCCTCAGGGTACAATTCCACACAAATTTTGTTTGTAAGCAGGGTCCAGTTTGATAGTCTTAAATGCTGTTATTGACAGAGAAGATCAATGCTACAGACACCAATTCGATTCTGGACTCTTGCATCTGGGAGTAAATGAGATGTCCAAAAACATGTTCTGTGTGACCATCCCAATTTTTGGGGGCACAACGACCCTAGACTGAAAGTCTCGCGGGCAAACATCGCAAAGGTGCAACATCTGTGGTGCGCTATTTGAAACCTCTTTTCATCCACTCGCTCTTATTCGGCAAGGCGGGCAATGTGAGCGCGTTCTCAACCACAACTCCCATCCGTATTCTCACACCATATCTTAACGTAGCACTTCGAGAAACACTGATTGTCAGAGTAAAGTGGCCAGCACACAGAGAATTCGAGATGGCGAATTTTACGTATGTCACCAATTATTTGGAAAATTCCGCCTCGATTTTGGTCACTATGAGTTTTCTTATGTTTTTAAGTGTATCCTTCTGCGGCACTACAAACTTAATGGGGGTACCGTAGCTAGGTGTGCTAGCTTCAAAACAAAAGCAAGCAGAATGCTCTAGCTCTTTTACTTTCCCACCATTTCTCTAGATGTCTGGACATGTTTGAATGAGATGACCTAATATAATATCATGCTGCTTTCCCAGTAGTTCATCGTTTTTAAAATATGCTCAGTCAATGCTTTTGCCGCTGTTACCCACGGGAAGGATAATTCCTCCGAATTGGCTCCCGCACAAAGCGACACGTGAAGACGGAGGGTTGATAGAAGCACCTTTTTCTGCCTGTCCTCCTCACATTTCGAGGATTAATGTTCGTATCCAATCCATCTATCTGAAACTGCTATCCTTCTATTTTATAAAGCGCTAACTTTGTGTGTCGGTTTGTATGTCTGTATGTGTGTGTGTGTATGTATGTATGTATGTATGTATGTATGTATGTATGTATGTATGTCCGTGTGTCCGTCCGCAAAATGAAGTGAGTGAGTGATAAGGCAGCTAACGGAATAAACAAGCCGCCAACAAATCTGGGTAGCTCGCAGGATTTGCGCTATCAATGTTTTGCACAAGCATGATTGTGATAACCCAGAACGGCTATATAAACACCTACTGAGCATAGTCTCATTCATTCCACATGATGCTGCAATAGCAGCTGGAGAGCAGTAGAGGGAATAGGATAAGATGGAGAAGGGCGAGGGGAGCTAACCGCCAAAAGACCTGAGGTCCAATTAATATCATTCTAAGGTCATGTCACGATTACGGTAATGCCTTCTACTATATAAGACACTTTTTTGTGCATGCGTGCCACCTCCATGTCACCAGTGGATGGGAGCACATTAGAAGGAGTAAAGCTTACGCAGGTAAGGAGGTCCCGGTGGTTGCCGGGGGACCAATTCTTAGTATAAAAGCTCAGAGATATCGAAGAATGGCGTCTTCACGAACCGCAGCTTGATCAGATCATCCGTCTAGAGCATTAAAGTGCTTAAACTTGGTATCCAGTGGAGACTTCTCAAAAACTTCTGCCGTGATCGAATCTCTTTGTGGCTATCTAGTGCCTTTACACATATAGAGGTTTTCTCCTTATGCCATATCTGCAGTGTTTTTACCCGCTGTCTGCGTTGAATGTGAAAAAACCATGATATAACGCATCTAATCAGTTGCTATTCTTTTTTTTTTATTTCCCGTTCTCTTTTCTCGTTTTTCTGTATTATGATCTTGCTTCCTTTTGTGATTCTTCCACTGTTTAATTGTATACACTTATAATCATTTCGTCCACACTTTTTGTTACCTCTTCGTTCTCTCTCTCTTCCTCTAATCATTCATACCTTCATAGCTCTGCCCTGCCTCATCCTCGTTTTTTTTTTAATCTTTGACCTTTAATTGAGCTTCCAAAATGATATCTGCATTTGCTTCTTTCCTGCATTTAATCACCTCCTTTACTGTACATTGCATTAATGTGTCGATCGTCTTAATAACACATAATTAATTTCTCTGTGTGGCGTGTAAAACGGCACGTCATTCGACGTCTGACGAAATATTCGCCAAAGCGACTCTAAGTAATGTTTGGTTTCTATACTTCTCTTCCTTTTGACCTTTGAATCCCAGCTTCGGTTACCGTTTTAATAGTTAATTCACCAGGCATGTTCTGCATCTTGTTGTTGCAGGGAAAGCCGACATGATTGAAAGTTGAGTTTTCAATAAGTACTAATCCCTCTCTTCGATTCCATATCTTATTTGTGATTAGAGGAGTACTGAATTGTGTTGGCATGCAAAGAAAAATCCCTAAGGTAAGACGACAGCGATAAGTGAAACTTATAGTATGTCGTGCTGTGGCGCTCGCTTATTCGCTATAATAGTATTGAACTTTGTTTTGGGAGCAGGGTAATCTCGTTTGGGTAGGTTAATGTCTGTTGAGGAGGACCTAGTGGTGCAGAATTTTGCGTCGTGAATTTATAACACAGGTGGGACAAACTAGTGCGTTACTCCGGGGGATAAGTCATCTGCATTAGTGGTGTGATGATATATTTCGAAAAGGAAAGTGCTAGTAACCTTTCAATTGCGGTGAATCCAGAGATCATTAATTCAAAACCGAGCTTCTTTTATGGGGTCTGTGCGAGCACAGAAATTCCCACCCTAGAAATCTTTGCAAATGTGTTCCATGGAAGTAAGGTCACCTCGTCTACAGTACGACTAGAGAAAGTTCAAATGACATTTATTGCTAATAAACTAACTAGATAAAGTGTCATTCTGATAGGTTCTGATATCCATTCATTTGATAGCGTCACATGTCACCCTATTGTGATACCATTTATCGCTTTTTGATGTTAAGGTTATAAAAAATGGCTTGCAAATGCAGTTTTGCGATGGTGTATTGATTATGTGATTCACTTCCAAAGTCTTTCATATAGTTCACCTATATCTATACATTTGCCATTTAAAACGTTCTCATAAACGCAACGGATCGAAAGTTTCCGAAAACGATAGTTTACTCAAAGTTACTCGCACAATCCATACTATTACCTAGCGTGAGAAAGTAATGACGCCTCAAGAAACTATGTCAGTTCCTAAATGGATCTGAAAAACCGAAAATCTTCAAAAAATCTCGGTAGGCTAGCAACTGGGAAGTTTTGTAGGTATTTTGTGGGGTATAGCTCACTGGTATAGCTTCGAGAGTATTCTGTCACTCTCCAGCACGCTTCAGGGATCGTTAAGTCGGGCTTCTGAACGCTTATTTGACTTTAACAAAGAGTTCAAGCAGAAAGGGAGCAACATAATGGCTTGGGAAGGCGCAGCCAAAAGTGCATATGTATCGCACTCACTTTGGCCCAAGCCGCGCAGGTACAAGCGTGCAAAAATGTTTATTTATGTCAGATTCTTGAAACACTTACATTGTCACGATACTGCTTTGCTTTCCATCTCCAGTAGAAGTCTTATCGAGTGAGCGAGAAGTGCTTCGTCTTGAACTCGTGATTTGAGTCATCCCCTAAGATTGATTTTTCGATATTCCTTACAAATGAACTATGACGAAGAGGAAAGACGGGGCAACGAACCATGATAAAGAGAAGAAGGAAATGAATGACTGCCGCCCCGGTGGGAGGCTAGTGCAGAGAATGAGATAAATTTGATGGACGAGTAAAAAATTCAAACGTTATGTTTGATTTACTCTTCAATTTGCGTCTGTGTCATAAGACTGCGATTAAATATTGGCTCCCTTGGTTTTTGTGTGCATTTTCTGAGGCTCTGCTAGCTGCTACGGTGGATGAGCGCAGCATAGTATGAATGCCGAGACGTTGTGCAGAATTCCCCATCCTGCCCACCGCAATTCCAAGCGTTCGTACTGACCCTCACCGCGTCTACCTTTACTCAAACCTCCACAGAATCCCGCCATAGGAACACGGGAGAAGTACTCAGAACCGGTGGAGTATATAGGAATACCAGAAGCAGCTAAAATCCTATAATTCTTTGGAAAAATTGTAACATTTTGACGACTGCGCGATGCAATCTAACACCCCCCCCCCTGCGACTCGAATCACTTATTTTCCCAGTAGAGGTTCCCAAGCCGTACGAACCTGTCAGTTCAGTGTACTCCCGTTTTTTTAGATCCTCATAAACGTATATCTGTATGCAGGGTGGCGAAAAATTACGTGCGCGTGACATTCCGCTTCGTTTAAAACATTGTAGGAGGAATTTGTGTGTGCTTTTTCTTTTCAAACTCTTTGTTAATAGCTAGTTATTGGTTTGCAAAAAAAGAAATTTGTTTTCCAAGTTCTGACAAAGACCTATTCAAGTTGGAGTGCGATTGCATGGCAAGCAAACAGCTGGACTGAGAGCTAAACGATTTCTCCGAGGCTCACAATTTTTCTACGAACCGTCCAAAAAACTGGAAAGCATTAGAAAGAGGAAGACTATCTCTTACCTAAACCCGTAAGGGAATGAGAACGGATTACCAACACCCGATGTGTGAGAAAAATTATTAAAAAGAGGAATGACCAAAAAGATGACCTGAGCTTGAATAAGAGGGCCGAACAGAACCAAGCCTTCCGAAAATTGTTCAGATGACAGCAAAAATAAAGTGCGGAATGGACTATATCGTATATCAAACGGGCAGTTTCCCACCCTCCAAGCAAAGCAATCGGAAGGAAAAATATAAGAAGTTGCGGGATTTTTCTGAGGTGCGGCGGTCCTAGGACGCCTTGTGGCTTCACAAATAAAAATTTACCGTTTAAGTGCCTTAACACTCTCACAATCACCTTTAATCTTTTACATCAGCTCTTAGCAACATCTTAAATTGGAAAGTACCCAGAAGAATCTCGTTCCCTGAAAATTTGATGGACTGGATCACTGCTCTGAGCAGGCCTGTACAGGTTTTTATTGATAAAAGCGCGGAAATCAATGGGAAGGTCTACCAAGAAGGGATCCTGAGAAAACTGTTGCCCCCTAGAAGCAGAATCATAACATTCTGTCTTTTTACAGGAACGCGCTCGGGCCCATGGACCAATACACCGACCCACTTCTTCGAGACCAGTATCGGCTGTTTTGTGGCGATGGATTCATGGTCTGCTCACAGTCCGAATTCAGATCCATTAGACTTCTCTGTTTGGGGTTTTATTGAAGAACCACTAAGGAATCGAAATGCAAAAAGTTTGGTGATTCTGAAAAGAACTGCCTAAAATTTGGAATGAAATATGCGTTGAACACCTCCGCCGCACCATCGACTTGGTGAAGAAACAAATTGAGGCCTGTATCATAACTTGCTGGCAGCTACTCCAAATCTTTTTTGCTTTATGAAAATTAATAACTTTCAAATTTTTGTGGACAATAAACAAAGTCTGAACGTGTAATGGCGCACGTAATAATTTTTCGCCACCCTGTACATATAAAGAGTAGTAGAAGTAATTGCAGAACTATACGTATTGCAAGTTCTACGTTTTCAGTGAAACAACGGCGTCAAAAACACTTTTGAGGTCCACCACAGCAAACGTAAGTAAAATTCGCTTCTTCGTAGCTATCACGTGATATTGATTGGACTTCTGCTACTGTTGCGCCCGATAGCACGCCCACGCTAACACTTATTGGAAATATTTCGTCCACCAAGCGTTGGGTGTTTAC